TATAATGTACATTGTAAGTAATGCTTATATTTAATAGTGCAGACAGATATCGCTAAGTATTCTCATATCCATTTTGTTTTTGAAACTCACCCTGGATAAAGACTAGAAGTGCATAATGGAAGGTCTTTAATATAAAATTTGTTTTATGTCTCATTATTCTCCATTGTAATGTTGTCTGCACAAAATGACCAATGAGATAACTCATACCTCGATTGACAAAATCGGGAAGAATGTTAATGTAAAATACAGTATAAAATTTTGGGATGAACATAGTATGGTAAATATGGTTGATTTGGGAGCTATGCTAAGATAGCATCACATGCACAGTGTACTGGTACAGTATAAACATTCACATCTGACATTTGACATGTATTTATCATTCAAATGTTCTGCATCGTGATTGCTATTTGTGACATCATGTTTCAATATTGTGTGTGGAGTATTATTACACACCCAATGTTATGTTAATCAGTGAGCTTGGTAGAGACACTGATAGATAACTGCTACATATATATGTATGTTGAGAATTATTGCCATCTAATATCGTAGAGGTATAAATATTGAGTGTGGGATATTATTAAGCACACAATGTTAATGTGTTAATGAGCTTATTAGAGGAAGATAGATCACATTAGATTTTATCAATGTTGAGTATGGCCACTAATGTTAATATTGAATGTGGGATATTATTGGGGCTGCAGTGTTAATATTAATTAGGTGAGCTTGCTAGAGGAAGAGCTGAATTATAGACTAGTTATATGATGTGTGTTGAATATTAATGAACGCATTCATATGTATGTATTCAGCAATCATTTATTCTATTTAAGTGTTATATTTTCCTTAGCTTATTATTTTTTATACTACTACTAACATTTGAAATGGTATGTGGGTGTTATTGTGTCCATCTGTCTATTAAGCTACCTAAAGGAAGGGATGGATAGTAGCATCTTTGTATGGTGTGTTCAGTATTGTTTGAGCCATTAGTGTAACAGGATAAAAGGATGAAGAACAAATCAGTGATTACTCAAATGGACGATATACTTATGCATGTCTGTGGAGTCAGTTTAAGTGCATTTGTAATCCATTAAATTACTGTAGTTCATGAGTATATTATTCATATATTTTATCATAACTTGAATAGCGGAGGAACGTATTAATTTAGTGACTGACAATTTCAATCAATCACTCGCTCATAAAATTTTATAGCACCACAATCCATCAAGAAATGTTCAAAGGCACTTTAATCATATCCTTACTTTTATACTGTATTTTGTTGTCTAATGAGCATGGTCATATTTACTTGAAATATACAATATTAAATAAGTCAGTCGTGACATCATCATTTTCATTTGCACATAATTTTCCTATCCTTGAGCAGGCATTATTTTGCTATAGTGCCTGCTATGTTTTACATCAGCTGCCTGCATTGCCTTCAGCCCTGCAGGCTTCAGATAATTTTTTTCCAGGAAATAATTGCTCTTTTGGCCTCTATATTTTATAGGGTCCTCAGAATTTGATTATAATAGCATATTATAACACATACACAAGCTATTATTATATAATGTAATTTCTTTATCATTACATCATCATTGTTAACCAGTTCAAGCTCTTTTCAAGATAACACACCAAAACCAGTATATTTTTCACTTATTTCTCCTAGTCATTTCCAATAACTGCTTATCATTATTTATTTATTCATATGTTTCTGTATAATATATAATTTTATTCATAGAAACTTTATCATTTATAGGCAAACAATTTTTAATACCAAAATCCAGTCTATCCATCCATAATTTCTATATTTGACACTGACATATTTATATATGATAAATATGCTATATAATTGTAATATGTTAATATATTCTGAATTTATTAAACAAAATTATTGCAGTTTAAACTGAATTATGTCGTAATTAATATAAAGTTTTTAAGGTAAAATAAAATTTAAAATATTGATAGCAAAAAATGTTGATATAATTAAAGAATATTAAAATAAAACAATAATTTTAGGACTACCATATTTATTCCTCTGTTTTTTTTTTTATTGCTCTGAATGACTGCTTTTATTATTCTTAATTACTATAGTAATATTTTTCTGCTAATGGATTCTAGCATACCATCAAAGTGTTGAATGTCTACAATATGTAGTTAACCATATCTTTCTTGCAACAAAATTTGTCACCAAGTTAATGTAATCTTCAAGGTGTTGCTTCATCTTCCTTCCTATAAACCATAATGATATTTCCATAAAAAAACTGATTAGACAGGACATATAGATGTACAGCTTTTACATAATACACAAACTGCAGTACCATATGCTGTAACAAATTATTAAACTATTAATATGTGGAGAATGAATGTTTAGAGAAAACAAACTTAATACATAATTATACAAATAGATTTATGGATAATGCCTTGGATACGTTGTCTTTCATCTTACTACTATAATGTAATATTTCTATGGTTGGGGTTGTTAACTGATTAAATAATTAATTATTAAAATAATTAGATATGACTCAGCAGATAATTCATTAGTTAAATAATTAGAATTTCTCTTTACGACTGTTTTCTTGTTAGGGGTCACTTGAAATTTCAATAGGTAGAAATACTGATTAATAATTATAAAGTAGTATTATGTCTGTATTTCTGCTTACAAATGTGTGTACATTACCTCGTCTATTTTCAAGAATTTGGAAAGCAAATATTCTGAATGGAATGCTTTAAATTTATATTGCTGTCTTTACATTATACTTGAATACATAGATAATAATTTATAGTATATTTTGCCTGCTATGGTATCATAAAAGTAGGTTCATTATTAAGTAGGTTACTAGCAAATATAAGCAAGATGCACTGTAGTGGTACATATATATTATACTATACAGTATTATGTATTCCTATATTACCACAGTTAAGCAGTCCACTCAGCATTCATATTTATTTTCACATTTGTATTTTATAAAACTACTTCTTCTATTTCGTTTTCCACATCACTCGATGGATGTTGACATTAGCACACTTTCAAGATAATTTATGTTTGGCTATAACATCACCTGGTAAAAATAAAATATGAAAGTACTGTCAAATTTACTAAGGTTTAGCTATTTATTGTTTGCGAATGTTTAGTAGATTGTCAATATATTTTAATAAATTATGTTAATTAGGTATGAGTCATTCTCTGGATGGGATTATTAATACCCAAGGGTATCTATTATGCCTTCTACAGCTTCTATGAACATCCAGAAAAATATAATGAGACACATTTCCCTTCTCATTTTGTGGTGTTTACTTTCCAACATTAAACAAACAAATGAGGTATGCAGATAATTGTGTGTAGCTCTTCATTGGACAAAATTGGTCAAATAACCCAAGATAATTGACTGTTTTTACAAGGGTAAGGTATGAATAAATAAACCAGACAGGGGGACTTTAATACCCAGATTGTAACAGCTAGGGGAACCTCTTAGCATTAATGGCTACCTGTCACTGGTAAAATAGGGAAATGCCAGGGGAGCTCATTTATATCCAGACCCTGAACTCTAGGGAGCTTTAATTATCCATAGTCACACAGCTAGGGAGCTTTAATAAGTGACTCTAATAGCAAGGGAATCTGTAATAACCATTGTAATAACTATTGCACTCTCCTGGGCCTCTTTCACAACATTATCACTTAGTTACTTTTGATACACATTGCATAGTAAATATTATCAAATCTAGATTTTTTTTTTCTACAAATGATTTGAGAAAAATAGAGAATTCATTTATAATTCTTCATTGTCTACAGATAGACTTACCTATTTACTTAATGTTGCTGTATTTGTATGCCTTTGTTGTGTTAATGAAAAGAATTGCCACTTATATTCTCAACACATTGATATCCTGATTCACTAACTTTATCCTGTGCCGCTAAATATTTTTAGTAATTCAAGTAATTATCACTAATGATCCCCTTATATAGCACTTTTTATTTTAAAGAAAGTCACAAATCACTTCACAATATTACCCTAGTCAGTGAATATATGACAAAAACAATTGTGCATGACTTTTATAACCCTATAATGTTGGATGGATAAGCTCTTATATATGGCACACGCATGCTTTCATTCTTGTATGTGTGTATATACTATTTTATGGTTAGATGAAGCATATGTATATACATATATATAGTGGTTGAGGTTTAATAACTTAGGATATGAAGGAAGTGGGATCACATTTTACTTGGGTTAGATTAGTTTGAGTTACTGCAATGATCATTGGTTGCCATTTCTAGCTGAGGCTACTTAAACTGAAAGAGAAGCTAAAATTACGATCCAGTAGTGTAGACGAAGAGCCTGTTACGAATTTGACAGACAGATGCGACTCATCCAACCACGACAAGGCAAGTTAATTAGAACTTAAAGAAACGTTAAGGATCAGCATATATTTATTATTAAGAAAATAAAAGAATATGTTTGAATTAAATAATTTTATTACTACACAAAATAAAAGCATATAAAAACTTTGGCCAGTCAGAATTCCAATTGGAAACATCTATATATTTGGTTTGAACATAGTAAAAAAAAAGTACTCAACTCTTCCATTAGTCCCTCTCCATTTTGATACTCCTAGATACACCCCTATAGTACAGTAACACCTTAGTCGTCGTGATACGTATATTTGTTTCTTTTTTTCTGACTACACAATAGTTAATTAAGTACAAGTTATAAGTTTTAGGTATTAGGCTAACATTTGAAAATGTTTTAAAAATCTTGCAACATTTGTTCTTAATATTATGTGTTGCTGTATCATAAATTGATATGTACGGCACAGAACAACTACTAATAGAGTACTAATGGCTACAGTAGCATTATATAACATTTCCAGTAACTATGAAATTCTAGCTCCATGCTATGAATAACTGCATTAGAAGTCTAATGAAACCTTTTGACGGTTGTATCATCAAATATTGATTTTATCAATGTTTACTGACACAATATATTAAACAGCTAATACTGTACATGGTTGTCATTTCCTTGTGTGCTAATGGCATTTTATATCATTATAGCAGTACTGTAATTGCATTCTCTAACCTTTAATGGGCCTTATACAGAAAGGTTTAATTCTCCAACTGAGCAAGAATCATCCCTTATATTACTACTGGACTTTACTTTATTATGAAAACTAATGATAGTTGAGAGACAACTGTTGTGAGGCAGAGACAGTCATAGGTTGGGAGAAGACAACCATTGGTTAGTAGGCACTACAGTTTACGGGTGGGGACAACTGTTAACTGGTAGGGACAACCATTGGATGATGGATACCCATTGTTTTTTGGGGAAAATCACTTGCTGGTAGCAACAGCCATTGGTTGGTAGCGACAGCCATTTGTTGGTACGGACAAGAATTGGTTGGTGGGAACAACCATTGTTTTGTTGACAACCATTTGTTGGTGAGGATAATCATTGGTTTGTGGGGATAATTACTGGTGAAGACAAACGATTGTTTGTGGGGACAACCTTGGTAAGGGGTTGATTACATGTAGTTGGTGGGATAGTATAAACCATTACTTGTTGATAGGTTAGTATACTAATGGTTTGTGGGGTGATATACTAGACATGTGGGGTAAAATATCAATGCATATTGTTACATGCATCTCGCTAATAAACTACATAATAATGTAATAATCCGTTAACTTTTTTTAAAAATTAGTATTACTACAGTACAACCGTACTTGTATTTTTTTTTTTTTTTTTTAATGTTTTAATTTAGTGGATTTTGTTTAAACACTTTTACAGTCATGTATACTGTTATTGTATAATTGTTTTTTTTAACACAATTAGTTTCTATTAGTTGTTTTTCTTTCTCTCTTTTATACATGGAACGCACCAAATTTTTGTGTGCCGCTGAACAAAAATGTACGTTCAGTTGAATGAATAAATAAATAAACATGATTCTGATATTGGATAACAGTAATAATACAAAATCATGTTATAACAGGAACTTGGTACAAAGTCATATGTACTTTCCCAGTAAGAAAAGCTATGGAAGAAAAAAATGTATATTGTATATAATGCACCTTCCTCAATACAAAATTATTTCAAGGCACTTTTAAAATGCAAAACACTAAAAAATAAACAATATATAATAGAGTATAATAATTATTATGAATGAAAGAAAAGCACATGCAGAAGGTGCACACTCCGGATATTGAAATTGTATCGCGATTAGTAACGTATACATTTTTTTAAATGATTTTGATATACTGTATTTGTTATTTAATTATCTATTTGAAGTATTTGCTAGAATGATTATAAATATTTATGATTTTTGTGTCGTTTTTTTCTATCATTTAGAATCAGATGACAAGTAATCAGATGAGGCGAATTGAGGAGGAGAGGTTGATGTTAAAAACAGAACTAGAAACAGCATTAGAAAGAGAACAAGACCTTAGGTTGAAACTTAACACAGTACAAAAAGAATTATGTCAAATGGAAGCAAAGGTAAGTCTTGAAAATATTGTAATCCTTAAACGGTTAATCTTTAATTAAGTCATGTCAATTGACAGCGATTTTTGCGGCCCACAAATATTAAATAAAAACCCTATGTGTGCGGCTCGCCAAGCAACATTGGCTAGAAAACACCTTGTTTTTTACGGTCATATGTAAAAAGTAATAAACTGGGAATAAAGTGGTGTAAAAGCAGTGCTTGGGGGGTTTTTAGAAGCGCACTGGAAAGATCAAAGTTTGGGTGCGTCCCTCGGTGTTAAATCAGAAATTCACTTTGGCCCTCCGACCGATTTTTATGCCCACCCCTGGTTTAGGGTTATTATGGAAAACACAGACTCTTTGTAGGTAAACAGAGGAGATCTTCTGATTTTCTATAAATGAAAATATAGTAAGATAATGCCAGCTTTCACCAATACTGCCCTATGGTTTATTCAGGTGAAAGTTTAATCAAAATTAATGTAGTTATAATATGTGCAGTAAATTATCAGTTGTAATATTTCTTCATTAAGTGCTCATATTTCTTGAAATTAGGGTAAAGAAGAATTAATGGCAATACGATTACGTGAGACTGAGGCGAGAGCAACGCTAGCAGAATTTACACAGCGTATAGCTGACCTTCACGTAGAGGTATGTTGACTTATTGATGATGATGTCTATTTTAAGCTTAGCTCAACAAGGACTCAAAATTACAATTACAAAAAAATGTTTGCATGTTGATTTAACTAATTTTTTAATTTTTTGTTTTTGCCTCTGCTAACTAAAAACATTTATATTTTTTAAGTTAAAGTTGCTCTACCTTGAAGGATACTGTCTGATTAATTAATAAACTTAAACGATCAATTTTTCAAAATTATAATGAAATCATTTTTTTTTTTCTCTTTCAAAAATAAAACCATATATAATTATGTTCTTGTATTCATTACATAGACCCTTTAATTGGCTGATAAACAATTTTTGGATTTTGCTAAACATCCATAAATCAGCTAAAACTGTCTTGTTTTGTATATGAGCAATGCATGAAACCTTAATGAATTTTTAATGGTTTTCAAGATTATAACAGACAGTATACCTTTTATTGCTATGATGCCTTCTTAATGTAAATTATTTCTGTATATATTTTAACTCGTTATGAAATATGTATATTTATAGTGCATGCTATGTATTGAGTCAAATGTTGATATGAATTGGGAGCTTGTGTACACGGTGCACGGTCTTATTTTATTATAACCATCTTGTCCTAATTAAATTTATTTTACTTTAATAACCTTTCTAAATGGTGCATGTTTTATTTTCAAGCCGGAGGTGCAACCTTTTCTTATTGAAATGGTAAAGGTAATGTTGTTGAAGGTCAATTATATCGTCGGTTTGATTCATTAATGTCATGCATCCACAGTGCTTTGCAACACCAGGAATTGATTGGTTGTTAGGCCATAGCACAGCTTAATATTGGTTAAGGGAATCTCTACATGCCTAGCTTGCTGTATTCATAAATAATTGGTTAGCAGTCATTTCTAAAACCAATATAATTGTAGATTATTATAAATTCTTTTCGTACAGTGCAATAGATAAATTAATGAGAACAAGGTGGAAAATTGAATTTTCAGGTCGAAAATTTTAGATCAACTTGCAATTCCATTTGTGTTCCTATATGTCTCAGATGTAAAGAGCACATAATCAGGCATTCTTGCACCCAATTAAAAAAATTAATTCTAGAGGCAAGTCTATGATTTAAAAACAGGGTCTGCTTATTAATCTGATATTTATATCATTCAAACCATGAAACTTTGTTTAACAAAATGATTACATCAAAACTACATCACTGCTTTAATGCTTCTACTTACTGCTGTGCTTAAAACACTATATTGCAAACTTTAAAGGTATTATGTACTTTTATTATAAATATATTTTTTTTAACTGTTTCACACCAGACAACCACAACAACGACAAATGAATCGTTGTTATGAGGCTTGGAATGGGGAGTTGATTTAGTTAGATAAAAGAAAAGTTGTTTGCTCTGGATTTCAAACCAGACCCTTATCTAAAGCTCCATTCTTCTACATCCAATCTTATTTTAGAAGAAAATCAATGCTTTCATATACTTATTTTGTTTGTGTTACATATTTAGTCTCAGTAAAGCCTAAGGTTTCCTGTATATTATGTTTAGATACAATAAATTATACATTAATTATTTTCTTTCTTTTTAATTTCAGAAACAAGAACTCTTGGCCAAAGAACAACTAAGCAACACAGAATCATTTCAAAATGTACATGAACTCTACAATATTATCAAAGGACTACAGGCAGAGGTAATACACAACACTTACATTAATATTAAATCATTCATTCTCAATTTGTATATTCATCCATTTATTCATTCATCATTAACCCATTTTTCAATCATTCATGCAGTCATTTGTTCATTTGTTCATTCTTTCATTCGTTCGTTCGTTCATTCATTCATTAATGTAGTCATTCATTAAGCCATTTAGTTAGATACTTACATCCATTACTGAGCTCTGATTATTATCTTTAACAATCAATCAAACAAAACAAACAATTCAATCACTGAAGAACGCATTTTTAAGATGATCAGGGGCCTTTCTATATTATACTTAGGTTTATTTCAAAGCGTAAGATCACAATGTAAAACTAACGACCTCAATAAACGTCTGGGATTTGAAACTTACCAATCTGGAAAACTGTAACAACATAGATCATCAAAGTCTTGATTTCCCGAAGTTAATATCAATCCATATTTCAGATCAATTGAGGGAAAAATAATGACTTTAATCGTCATTTTTTACAACTGCATGGGTTGAATTTAGTAGACCTACTTCCATATTCGCTAGCCAGGTCTTTATTAGTCAGTTATTTTGCAGTGTTAGAATTTACATGGTACGGATGATAACTGTACTAAATAGATAAACGCCCGAACCGTCAATGTATTTAGATTCCTGTGGTGTGATGTTGCTATAATTGAAGCAGTTTCAAAACCTATGAACTTTTCAATGTACAGAGGTGTAATTTGTGTTCTGCTTGATAACCGCTTTACCACTGGGAAATTCTAGCTAAATAGGATTCAGATTAGCTACATTTATTTATTAGCTACAATTTTCTAATATAGGCCTGCAAAATAATAATAAATACAAGATACAATTTGATTCAAATTAAGTACATGGCAGTTATTTTTCCTGTACGACGAACACTTAAACTATACTTGAATAAACATTGAAATATGCTTAAACATCGGAACGCCAACAGCAAGGTAATAAGTTACAACACGGTTCGGGTCATTGTATTTAGTATGAAGTATAAACATGTTAGTGTTAGGCTTCAAATTAAAGTTTAAAAATGCATTGCATAAACATTTTACCAAAATCACACCTAGTTATCGGCAATAAGAATAGGCCTACACATTATTTGTCATCACAATTATTAGGGGTCTTGTCATAGACAGGATGGCGTACTTAGATAACACACAACATGCAACCTATCTTCTTTTAGTGGTCATTCTCTTTCATTGAAAACTAATCACAATGTTTAACATATTAGATGATAAGTGATTTTTTTTTTTTGAAGGTAAGACGATTAAAAATGGCTCACAAGATGAAACAAACCTCTGTGAAAGAAGATGCGGATGCTTTCCTAAATGAATTTGATGAACTTGACGATGACTCAGTGTCAATCAACCTTCCAGACATTGACTCCTCAATATTTGAGGACGCAGATGGAATTGAGGGAGTGGTGGAGATGGAGAAGGTGTCACGGGAACGCTTAAGCTCCAAATCTAGTGAGACTACTGTATGATGTAATGATGTGGGATTGATCTTCCTCCTCCACTCTCCCCATCTTGTTCTTCAGTGACCTTATATACAGATTCTATATCATACAATCTTGGTGAACTTTATACTGTCTTGTGCACTTTAAAAATATTTGATTATGCACCTTCAAGGTTAACATGCTATTCATGATTCAATATATGTATAGTATTGTATAATGATGATATACCATAAATATGTATATATAGTGTGTAAATACACTAAATATATAAGACTACAATACATACTGTAAAATCATTGATTAGACAATATGGATTAGCCTTCAGGAAGAGTAAATTTTTTATGGACAAATCAAATTTTGTTTTCTTATGACAACATGAGACAAGATATATTATGTATTAAAACATATAAAATTAAAGTGAATGAATCTCAAAAATGAATGAATACAATTTATAATTTTTTTATGACTGATAACAAATAAAGAAAGTGAAGAAAGAAACAACTCAGTCAAGAGTAATAATGGGTGAAATTTTTTATAAGGTTTAATTGTTCTATATTGTGGATTAATGTATGAATTTAAAGTACGTCAGTTTAAGTATTGGGTCTTATCAATTAATATTATACGTTATTTACTTCTTGCCATGGACATCTAGCTGGTTTTATGTAGTGATTAAGATTATGTTTTTATTTGTTTTAAGACTTACTATCATGATTCTTTACATTCTACTATTGTTTTTCAAATGTTAGAATATAACTTTTCTTGGTACTATGTAGAATCTTTGCCTCTGTTTCTGCTACCATCTACATTGTCTCAACATGTTTACTAATGCTGCCCTCTTCTGGTGGATGTAAATTAGTAGCCTCCGAACTACCACCTCTTTTGTACTTGTCACTTCTAATACCTATGTAGTCTAATGTCTTATCAGATTTGGAATTTTTACACCACATGAGTATATATCCTCACTAAAACTTCATTTATCCCCACTGCATATTTAGTATATTAAAATGGTGCTAAGATTGTACGTTTGTGACTCAAAGCAATATATCTACAAGCCCACAATAGAGTCACCGGTTGATATAGAATAGCAAAGGTACTTTGGTTGTATACAGAATCTGGGTTTATGTTTCTATCAGTTTGAATACAATGCAGTATTTGTCAAAGTTCTATATCTTTGAAATCCTGTCTGTGCAGTGGCACTATAACATGACTACACATGTTATTTCACCAATGTGTATACAGCTCTAGATATTACATATAAAGTAATTTAATAGGATATTCTTAATACTGTAATACTGTAGAAAACACCACTTTATATTTCAACCAATCAGATTTCCATATTTACAGCAGTTTGCATATTGGAATTCTCATTGGTTATTAAAAGCCAGTACTGAAAATGTTTTAATATGGGGTTGGGAGGAGTGGTTGTAAAATAATAGACTGTATAAACATGATAAATATGGAAAGGTTGCAACAGTAGCAATAATTGAATCAAGTAAATTATAGTGTTCTTATTTTTGTATTAGCAAGCTACATTGAATCATGTTGGAGAGGTTATAGCATTGGGTAAAGTTTTATTCCTGTGGATGTTATAGCACAGGGAAGATGTTTAATCCCTGTGGAGGCTGGGAAAGGTTTAAAGTTTGGGAAAGGTGTAACCAGAAACAAGTTTAGCCCCGGGTGTGGGTATAGCACTGTTAAAAAGTTGCATACTTTAGGCAGTATAACCTCTAGTGAAAGTATGTAGTCAATTGTGAAAGTTGGTAAGCCATGACAAAGCTGTCAGTCCTAGAGGTGTATGTAAGCCATGGGGAGGGTGTAGCACTAAAGGAAATGTATAGCCTCTTGAGAAATATGTAACTGTTGTGGAGGGGTGTACTCCTGGAGAGGTGTCTGACCCCTGAGGGATATTCCATGAATAAATATTTCAATTTCAATTTATTCAAAATTGCCTCCAAAAATGGAGAGTATAATAAAGCAAAAAAAAAAACATCAATAAACATTAAAATACATAAAATTGTGTGCTTAGGAATGAGTAATTGACAGTAACAATAAAAATTATTCAATAATATCAATATCAATATATATATGTATACTGTCTCTTATACACATCTAGATAAATATTATACATATACAATACTAATTCAAAAACTTTTAAGCAAAAGTTTAATAATATTCAAATTATATTTAGGCCTGTGGTCAGTTATTGCTACACCTTATTTCCAATATTATGTTGTTTAACTTCTACGGTGTTGTGTTTTATCAAAAGGGCATGGCTTATGATGGTTAATTGATGTATGAAGACATTTTGTACCAATGACCTAGGGTTCTACTGCCCTCAAATGATTTCTAGCAAGTAACTTTTTTTGCAGAACAAAGTTATTAAACTGCATCAATTAGAAATATAAAAATGTATGGAAAGTCCTCCATTTTGTTTTAGGTAATTTAAGCTGACAATGGTATTATATGTACTGTACAAAATATTTACTTCTAATATCATATAATTATTGTCTAAACATAACAAGTTTATATACTTTATGTGTTTTGTTTATTAATGTTATTACTACAGTAGTTGAATTTAGTTTCACAGGGTGATGAATATTGTTCTGTTTTGATCGTTGTCTACAACTTGCCTCGCTGTCTCTCATCATGTGTTAGCTACAAAACCTTATAATAGTATTAACTTTCTTTACAAAAAGTTCTGTAACTGTTGGCAACCTCTAGTAATGCACCTTTTCGGACTGTCTATCAAACTTAACAACTGACCAATCAGAACAGTACCAGGAATACGCGCGCGTATAAAAAGCACAGGTGTTGTCCCACAAATGCACGTGTTTGCGCATGTTTTAGCACTGTCTTTTTGTGGGACCTTAGTAACATTATCCGGGGGGGGGGGGGGGCGGGGCTTAGCGGAAAGGTCCATCTACCACTGCCATTAATAACTTTATTGCCAGCATTATTTGTCTTCTGTTATCAAAAACTTCCTTCACAATCGGAAACACATTTTTTTTTGCCCACATGCTTAATACTGAACTGGAATATACAAATTAATTTATTGCTGTACCCTTTTTATGAAGACCTAACTTTAACATTTCTGGTGTTTCAAACCTGTCTTGTACCCGCTCCCATTCGCGATTGGTGATGTAGATGAAGCTTTTGAGCCTATTGTTTCTATTTAGGTTGTGATTAAGTTTCCTGATTAGAAAGATCGCTAAAATAATGCAAAATGTTCCGACTTGTATATAGTAGGTACAGTACAGTATATAGAATTAAGTTGGCATGTTATTTATCGCTAGTTTATAGAAATAAAGAGAATATAAAGAGATGTATTTGCAGAGCAAATGCTATATATTATATGTCTTGATAAAAATATTAGGGACTCTCTGCTCTGGAGTAATAAATGACCCTGAAACTCTAGGTAATTTGTTATGATGCCCAGTAACTGTATCGATTGTCGAACTTCGATTGTCATATAGTAAAACTATTAGTTTGTTATCGTCTTTAATGGTGTATCTATAATTGTATTGTCTCTATTAGGGCCTATGTTCCTTGGGTGTATCGATTACCGCCCTCCTGTACTTCAATAAGTCTATCTTGTTATTTATACTTACATTATAAACTATTTCATTCCTTTTAAATTTTGTTGTATTTTTTTTCTCATACTTTATCCAACCCAAGTTTCTGCAATTGTCGTATAGAGAGAGCTTTGAGAAAATAAATGTATTTAGTATTTTATGTTGCGATTATTTTTATTTTGTGTGCGTAGAAAACAAATTCAACAATTTAAATTTGCCCATTTTTAAGCAATCTCAATTCTTCATTCTTTATTGTCCATATTCGTATAAAACAGAAATGTAATTTGAACTGGCATACATTTACAAATTTAAACAACAAAGGAAAAGGCACAACACCCATAAACACAATAAATGTTGAAGTAAATAAATTGCGCGATAACAATAATAATATAAATGATTTATTCTTTAAAAATAGTAATAGTCATTCTCTTTTTCATAATTATTGCACTAATAATGAAATTAATTTTTACAGTATTGAATTATATAATTAAATGTCGTTTTTTAGAGGTGGGCCTAGACCCTATAACCTAAATTCAACTCAATTTTATTATGCTTTAAATGCCATTAAGGCCAATATCCGCTAAGAATATCTTTCACAGATTCATTATTGAAAAAAAAAAAAAAAAAACGCAAAAACGAAAAAAAAAAAAATAAATAAATTAAATATATATATCGAATATAAAATATATATAAAAGAAAAACATGAGGTATAAATTGAACACGTATGATAAAAAAAAACCGGACGAGATTCCGGATAATTGGTTTTAGCTGAATTTCTTGAGAAGTTGTTCAACATCTTCCTAATAGTAAGCATATAACAACATAATATACCATTCTTACTAATACCCTAATACTGTGCTGTAGGATCAGCCGTGGTGTCGGAGTTTATGTGGTGTTTGTGGAAGACAGTGTACAGAGACAAAAAGATATGTTTGGGAGAATAAGATCGTTGAGAGGGGCGAAAAATATCACGTTTGGTATGGCGCTTCCAGAGCGGCGCTTACAGGAGAGGGGCGCTTATATTCGATAATTTACAGTATCAGGGAACAGTGAAATTACATTGTAATTTCACTGTTCCCTGACAGTATAAATAAATCGTTCTTGAGCAGCAATAATCCTAGTTTTTTTTTTTACTGGAATTGAGAAGCATCTTGTCGCCATCATGTCATTGTTTTATGGTAGACGATTATATTACTAGAATGTTTGCAGCTTAATATGCAAGGTCTGTAAAAGTGATAACAATCATATTGCAAAATTGCAAACATATGTTCAGAAGACATGAAGTTCATAAATAGGTTTCACAGGTCTCTTAACATTAAAAGTAAGGGGTGTTTTACATTTTTAATAAATCAATTTACAGGCCTATACACATGGAAGAAATAATCATGAAAAGTAACACAAATAGGCTGGGATTGCAACGCTCTGTGTTTCTTTTTTCTTTTTTTTCCCTAACATTCACCATTTCATTTAATTTTGTTCATATTCACCATATTTCAATATAAGATTAAGTTATCTATGAATCATGTTCACGTTTTTTTTGTAGGATAGGGCCTATGCCACATAATTTAAGCTATCAATTCCCCAATAGGTCTACATACTTGCCTAAAATTTTTTTTAAATGTAACATTCCTCAACAATTTACGGCAGCAAAGCAGGTAATTTGTGAAAACCAAATTTTGAAAAACTTAAAATTATATTTGGGGGAATTTTTATTTTTTTAAATTTATTTTTTTCTTATTTCGAGGAAATGGTCTTAATACACCATATGGGATGATGCCAACTAGAAATGAGACAGGAACAATGAACCAATCGGAATAAAGATGAGCTATTTTAAAATTTGCTGATCTAGGGCTATTTTTTGAAATTCGATAACGTGTGTTGCTAGCCTATTGTGTGACACAGATAAGGCAAATGGCACCACAAGAAGGCTTGGAAATATTTTACAAAAATAAATGGATATTTTAAATTATAAACAGGTTGAATAAGAATATAGATTGCATTGACAACACGTGTTTTGGTGTATGATGCGATGTGGAACTATATTTAGTGTAGCTGCTTATAGGTCGATGGGCACCAATCAATCAATCAATCGATCGATAAACCACCCAAACAAATATATTATTATTATTATTATTATTATTATTATTATTATTATTATTATTATTATTTGAATAAGCGCCGTGAAAATTGTCTTAAGCGCCCTGTTGGATATGCGCCCTCGATTCCTAAAAAAATCAATCATACAGTAGAGTACATCACCAACTTAATTTTCTGCATCAACTCTTCGCATCTATCTTGGCATTGTCGGTCGGTCAGTCCATCTATCCATCTGACGGTCTATCAGTCTCCATTAAGTTTAACATGGTTTACAGTTTTGATGCATCTTTACATTCCCGTTATTGTTTTATTGCTACCCTTTTTGGATTTAGAACAGTATTTAATATCTAAAAATTAAAATACTGTATGGCCATTTTCAGTCAACAAAAATAAACTAACCTCATCACTCGTATCTAAGCAAGAAACCCTGCAATGATCCTGCTAATCTGAATTGGAAGATGGCAAACACGCATACCACCACCACCAACCCCACCACCACTAATTTCATCTGCTGTTGTGTAAATATTCCCAACATTCTTATCATGAGCAATGCTCTCTCGACGATTACATTTTCTTCACCAAAACCATTCGTTTATCTTGGATTTTAGAAAAAAAAAAAGTGTCCCTTGAATTGTCCAATTTCCCATAAGCACCCCTTAAATTTTCATCTATTTCCATAAGCACCCCTTAAATTTTCATCTATTTCCATAAGCGCCCCATTTGAATAAGCGCCCCTCAAAAGAGCCAAAAATATTTTAAGCGCCTGGGCACTTATTTGCGCGCGTGCGGTATTAGTAGTAGTAGTATTAATATATAATATTATTAGTACTGTACTGTAAATGTTATTATTTTTATTTTTATTTTATTTTATTCCTTTCAGCACAAACAGCAAAAGTACATCAGACAGAACAAAAAGCAACAAATAAGGAGGAGGAGGACTGAGGAGTGGCAAAATGGGTAGGCCTACAAAAACCACTATCACCGGATATGGTGTGCACCTCCAACTCCAATTTCAATACTGTACATTAAAACACGAGTTAAATATAAATGGAATTTTGCCAATATGACTATGAAACTTTTTTATTTTATGTGTTTTTTTAAATATAAAGCAGTGATATGTTACAGGCCAAACTCCTATCGTATATGTAATACTATATTTAATCCGGTTATTAATCATAATGTAAATCCAGGGCAGTAAGCTTACATCGTCTGACAATATGTAACAAAATATAATGTCAATCACTATACCTAACCTTGATTTAAATTTATCTGGGCGGTCGCTAGTGTGTATATATAAAGACAGATCTGGGTAGTTACCAACCGCAATTTTTTGTCCCGCCGTCGCTCGACAAGCCCGTGCTATCGAGACATTCAGTATGAAGTTGTTCCTACTTCTTACATACGTTGCTGCAGCATTCGCTGTTCCTACCACTCCGATTGTTGGTGAGTACATGTCATTTTATATTTCCTGATTTAAACTTGTAGTAGGCATCAATGAGATGGTGAACAGCACATATAAAACAAAAACTGTATAACGGGAACTGAACTTTATTAGTAGGTGTGAATATTTCGTCCTGACGAAGGCAGCAATGTGCTACCGAAAATTTTGTTATAAGTATATGTGTCTAAACTTTTGTCAGTGTCCGGCGTTTGTTATAACAACTACGATCTTAGATAACGTTAGAAGAATCACAAGAAATTATGTTCCGAATTATATAGTTGAACAGCATAAGTAAACAAATGAAGAACCGAGTTGACGTATAACGAAACATATAACTATATTTCGGTCGCACCTGCGACCTTTCTCAACGTGTATATAGTGACTACACGTTGAGAAAGGTCGCAGGTGCGATCGAAATATTCGTGATTGATAAAAGTTATATGTTTATGTATATATATATATATATATATATATATATATATGTGCGAAATATATATATATATATATATATATACCAATTTCGCTGAAGCCAAAACGCCGATAGAAATATGAATGCACATGCCCATGAACGACGCTTTCGATACGCACGAACAAATTCGCCTATGTGGAAAACCGGCTAAAGAAAGCCGTCATGGCCTAGTTGGAAAGATGTTCGTCGTATAATATACGGCGACCTACAATATGCATTTTTACCTACAATATGTATTTTTACAAAACGCGTCACTTTTACGACACAATCATGATATTTTTATTACATAATTGTATTTTCATTACTATGTTTTAAATAGCCGTCTATATTACCATTATATATTTTCATTAACTATTTTGTTTAAATCCAATATATCAAATGACCAATGAATTTATATTTGTTAGTAGGCAAACAATTTATATCTGCTATCTGACCACACATAAACAATTAGTTATTCAATTCATCACCTTATGTTGTCATGCTAATATTTATGCCTAATTACTTCCTTGATGTGCCAATATACTCTATACAAAGTTTGTTGTATGTTCAGTTCACACTGAAGAAGGATGCAGTGACGACCGAAATATTTGTGTTCAAATAAATATATTATTATGTTCCTGAAATACGTCAATCCTTGTTTTCTGTTACTTGTGATCAGTCTCACTACATATATTAGGACCGGAACATACGTGCCCCAATCACATTGATGCCTAGATTATACATATATATATGACATGCTGCAATCGCTTGATATTAATACTCAAGATCTAGTCCAACCACTAGTCCCAAAATCACCAAAACCAGGCACAATATACTGTCTACCCAAACTTCACAAGCTCCCGTCAATTATATCAAGGATGCGTTAAACAGTTCGACTTCGGAACCACCGACCTACGATCTATCTGATCCGGTTGTCATTTACATCATTTAAGTCATTAAACATCACACCTCCAGGCAGACCTATAATTTCAGGTATTGGAACACTCACAGAAGCATTATCAGGCTTTATTGACTCTATTCTGAACCCTTTACTTCATAATATACCTAGTTACACCAAGGACACTACGCACTTTCTCAACAAATTAAACGAAATATCCCACCTAGATGATGATGCATTGCTCGTAACTATGGACGTGTGCTCTCTTTACACCAATATACCTCATAACGAAGGAGTAACTGCTTGCGAAAGATTTCTCACGGACTACCATTCAGAATTACCAGCTAAGGACAGTTGCAAAATAATTGATTTTTTCTTAAACACAATTATTTTAGCTTTAATGGCTCTTACTACCTCCAAACAACAGGTACAGCAATGGGAACCAAAATGGCCCCATGCTATGCGAATGTCTTTATGGCAGAATTAGAAAATGATTTACTGTCTAGCCTAGTATTTAAACCT